CACAAGGGTGATGAGTAGTCATTTTAGCTATAAGCTATTTGAGCTATACATCATATCTACTCATGTAGGAGTGAATAATACTACTTGTAAAGTAGTAGTTTTTGAAGAATATTCTTCAAAACAAATTACTCTATTACCAAGGTAAACTACTTAGATAAGTGTGTACTAAAGTTAAGAGCTCCTAGAATTGATAGCTGAGCAAACTTAACTTCAAGCTAGTGGTAATAGCAGAGAAGTGTGTGCTCATCATAACCTAGTAGTGAGATATGAGAAGAGTGTGCTTAATCTAAGCTAGTAATGATAGTTAAGAACTCACTTTTAACTAGTAATGATAGTTGAGAAGTGAGTTCTCACTATATGGTGATGTATCCAAGGCTTAAACAATAAGTGAGTTATTTGCTTAAATTGTTGAGTTATGTGATGTGTGACACATGAAAAGTTATGACATGTTAAGATGACTGACTTGACATGAATCTAAACATGAATAACTTAATTCATAAATACAAGAGATATAGAAGCAAATATTAATTAGAGCTCATTGTAATTAATTAATATCTTTAACATTAATTCACAGTAACGTTTGTGACATATTATAGATAAAATGAATATATATGCACTAGAGATTGTTATACATGCTTGTTGAAAAGCGAATATAGAACTTTGGAAAGGTAGATAAGGTGAAATATTTAATATATGGTATTTCAAAAGTTAGAAAACCATAAGAAATATACCATATATAAAATTTCACGATTATCTCAAAATTGGGAGGGGATATTGTCCATAGATGATATTTGATACGAGTTACCTCATCAGATAAGAAATACTTATAAATGTGGGGGTTCTTAATTCTAAAAGATTTTGGATAAAACCAAAAAATTATTTATAGTATTATAATAATAGTGCATATTATTTCCTACGAGGAAAATATTATGGAAAAACTAGAAGAGTTCTTTTTCAGTTAAAGAACTGAGTTATTTGTTCTAGTTGAAAAGTCAAGTGTGCAAACTTATAAGTCCTTGAGTGGATTAGAGCAAGAACCGAGACAATGACATAAATGTGATGCATAAGTCATTGTATGCCTTAAAAAATATTAATGATATACTAATTAGTATATTTGATATGAAAGATTTAATATTTGATAACATAATATATTATCAATAGAGTGAAATTGAGATAATATTAGTTATGATAACAAAAGCTTAGCTAACTTTTGTAGATTAAAATCTCAAATATAAATACTAGTCAAAGTATATCATTAGTTGAGATTGCAAGGCATCTTAATAATTGTGTTTAATTGCACATTTTCAATCCAGGATTGGATCACTGAAAAACAATGAATTAGGTAGTTGAGATACACCCTAAGTCCAATATTGCATAGATCAAGGTATCTAACTAAATTGGAGGTATAACAGTGATGCAATCTAGATATAGGATATTAAAGACTTCAAAACCAAGAGTGGATATGTCTTTTATTTTAAAGGTGTAGTTGTATGTTATTAATATAACTCAAAGTTAGAAACTTTGAATAAATCAAATAGGAAAGTCAATAGACTTCACCTAGATGACATTTCAAAGTAAGTTTATACCTGTGCCATTAAAGAAAATGATATTGCTAACAATAAGCAATTTTAGGGCACAAAGTATACAGTTGCTCTCAACTGGAAAAATCTCTGCAGAGTGTAATATTTCTAAATACAACCTTGTGGCCACATATAAAATTGAGGGTTGTATTAGAGATCAATTGTACAGTTCATCGAGGGGAATGGGGTTTAAAGCCAAAAGCTAACGAGTCACCTTAATAGAAACCCAACCTAGCTAACTGGAGATCCCAAGATATAGGTTCAAAGGGACAACAGAAATTCTGAGTGACTCACCAGAAGCACTGGGAAGATATAAATCTTCTACCCATTTCTATGATGAGACAGTGTTACCTACAACGATGATTATGATAAGTTACGCTTTTAATGACTCTTATACCTTGAAAATTCAAGTGGGGTATGGTAGGATACTCTTAATAAGAAGTCACTTATATGAGTGTGAAGTGGGGCCGCTTTATGAGAACTATAAAGGCTAAGTTTTCTAGAGCACTCATGAATACCAGGAGTTGTTCAAGGCCAAAATGAACACAACAATGAGAACCAACTTTGTGAGGAAGGGTACTGTGTGTTTGTTATTGTCTTGGTTTACACAAACGGCTGAACAGTTCAAGACATCGCGTTCACTGGTTAGCCAGTAAATCCGATAGCAATACACTAGGAAAGGTTCAAAGCCAAAAGCTACCTATCCTGATGTAGTAAGTTTCCGACTATACTCTCTTTAGTGTCTACATGATCATCTTTTGCATTTTACGCAAATTTCCATTCATGTGGGGGATTGTTGGAAACGGGGGCATTAAAAACATAAACTTTGGATGAGATTTGGAATAGATTCTGCTAATAATTTTTTACGGATCTCTAGACAAGCGTGTTTATCTCCGCAAGGAGATTAACGTGGTATATTTACTTTCTCAAATCCGTTTCCGGGTGAATGAGAAATTAGTTCCAAAGTGTGGTGTTTTGATAAGTTTAAATGGGTATGCAAAATGTGGGAAGTGTTTATCCCATATGGAAAAAATGTTGAAACCAATTGAAATTTAAATAAGCTAAATTTTGGGCTTGGGCTTAATTGTAAAGTCCGATTATTCTTTTTACTAAATGGAATTTTGGATTGGGTCTTTAATTTTGGGCTGGGCTTTTTTAAATGGGTGGTTGGTTTTTGAATTTAAATTAAAAGTTAGTTTTTGAATCAAAGGGTTGTATCTATTTCCAAAGGGTTGCATCTATTTTCTAAAGAGTTGCATCTGTTTCTAAAGAGTTGCAACATATTGGAATGGATGTGTCTATTAGTGAATAGACACCATGTGAACCATTGCAACCTATTGGAATGGATGTGTCTATTGATGAACAGACACCAACTAAACCATTGCAACCAATTGGAGTGGGTGTGTCCAGTGTGAAGAGACACGTATAAATGGTTGTGTCCAATGATGAAGAGACACACCCAATCCGAAAAGGTACCTTACTTAAAAAACTACTTTTTAGTTTTTTTTCCAAAGGGTTACACCCAATCCGAAAAGGCACCTTACTTAAAAACTACTTTTTTGTTTTTTTTAAAGGGTTGCACTCACCCGAAAAGGCACCTTGTTGCCTATAAATACCCCCATTTGGATCATTTACAAATCATTCATTTTCATTTTCTTCTAACTCCCTCTCTAGACTTGAACCCAACCCAAGTGAGTTCAAACCATAGGTTTAGTGGTTCGAGCCATTTAGACCATAATCCAATTTCATCGAGCCATATTAAGATTGGTCTGAACCATTTGGTTCGGATTACACCCAATTCAGCATTTATATGATATAGATGCATATTTGAGTCAGAGAGAGTATTACACGGAGGAGGTTCGCCGTATCCACGAGTTTGTAGTATTACTACTGGTGGTTGTAGACCGTTGTATCCTAGGAGATAGACGCCATTGAGTCCGTTAACACCATAGCGGGGCGAATCTGTCTTAAGGACATAGTATCCAATACTAACCTCGGTCCAGGTTCTTTATTTATTATTATTATTTTATTACTTTATTTTGCATATTTAATTAAATATAGAGTTGCATATTTAATTAATGATTTCTTAGCATATTGTTAATTATCTCATGACATATTGGTATAAGGTTTGTTATATCTTAAATGTCACATGAAGCATATATTTTCCAACAGTATAACTTTTATTTTAATTCTAACACTAAACTACTGCTATAAAAAAAATTACAACGAAATACAGTAAATAAGTAAAGACTATATTGTAAGAAAATGCAGATTATTGTTTGTTGGGGGACCTCTTGCTTGGATCCCTTCAATGTTATTTAAAGAGACCCATTCCTTCCAGTAGTGTAAAACAGTTTCATTCCATTTTAATTCAAACTCTTTATTTGAATTTAAATACAAACTTGTCTTTTGCCGTTTGAATTCATACTCTTTATTCGAATAAAAACTTGTCTGAATTAAGTTTATCCTTAATGACATGTGCTCTTGGTAAGTGAAGTCCACCATATGAAATCCAATCTTTAATGATGTGGCATTGAACTATGCTGTTAATGATTGCCACATATGAATTTTAGTCTTTAATTTGAAATCAGAGTCATTTAAGATAACAATATTAAATTATTATTACCAAAAAGACATATCTAGCTCTTCTTCCAATAAATTAATGACATGTGGCTGAATTAAAATCTTTTCCTCCAATCAACCAATACCATGTGTCAGTACTAAAAATTAAATTTAGGGTGCAAACATCGTGAGAGTAGGAGGTTGAGAATTTATAGCATTGCTCTCAATTTTACTATGGCTGGTGAATCGGAATCAAAAATTCACAAAAAGATGAGCAATTCGAATATTTTCTGAACTAGTTTTGGTGTTAGTGCTAACGTACATAGCCTTTAATGGTTCTGTTGGAGTTAAAAAAGGAAACTTTCACAGGGAAAGAAAAAGGAAAAGATGTTGTTGGGTAAATAAAGGATTATTTTTGTCATTTTATTTATAAATACATATAGGAGTGGAGCGCCTGAGTATAATTTTAGAAAACTAATATCAGGTATTATTCCTTTACAACTATGTATCTTGGACATGATATTTTTATTATATTGAACTGTATTTTTATGTGAGCAATTATATTAATATTGGGTATTATTATTATTATATAATAATGTAAATTATAATAATATTGGAGAGAGGATTGGTAAGGACTAGTATTTTACCAAGGAACAATTGGAAGCATTGAGGTCATATTTTAAAGCAACTAAAACACTCGATCATTTTAAAAAATATTGTATTAGTAACCAATATAATGTTACATATTTCTTGGAAATAGGCTTAGCAACCGAATAACACTGCAACAGCAAAGGTTCTGAGAAACTAGTTCTTAATCTAATACATACTCCTGAATTAAATTAGTTGATTTGATCAAATTTGAGAAAGCAGATTCAACATAATCGGACGCGGTCGACACTTGGCCAACAACGGTTGAGCCTTGGGCAAAGTGAGTCCCGTCCCTTCTGCCATATCAATCATCTCTTGGCTAACCCTTTCCCACTCAAAGCACTGAACCAATGACCCTAATGCCAACCCAACCATGCGAATGGCTAAGCCCTCCCCAGGACACCCTCTCCTTCTGGTTCCAAAGGGAAATAACTTGAACCCAATCTTGCTACCTTCCAAGTCTTGAAACCTCTCTGGCTGGAACTTTCTGGGGTCCACCCAAATCTTGGGATCATTTTGTATGGCCCACAAATTAACCAATAGCATCGTGCCACGTGGAATTCGGAAACCACCTACCGTACACTCATCCGATGACTCGTGAGGTACTAGCATTGGGCCTGCTGGATACATCCGCAGTGTCTCATTGATGATGCAGCGAAGATAGGGAAGCTTGGATAAGTCTGATTCATCGATCAGACGATGTTGTCCAACTTGATTATCAATTTCAATTTGTGCCTTCTTTAGAACTTCTGGGTTGTTCAACAATAGCGAAAGTCCCCATTCCATTGTCCCAGCTGATGTATCAGTTCCAGCACTTAGTAGAGCCTACATACATAATTGTAATCAATACATTAGGTTTACTTATATAGTGTTTGATAAGTATCAATTTACATATAATAATTATTTAATATGTTTATGACGAAAATAATATGTTTTTTACTTAAGATATAAACGTTATTTTCTTGATAAAAAGTTGGAATTTAATTATTTTAATTCTTAGTAACATCTTTTTTGAAGAAGATCATATCAACAGGTCTACTAACCAGTTGATTGTCACAATTTCTTCTTTAATTTTATATATTGAATGACAATGCAACAAAAGATTATTAAAAAAAAGAAAGAAGAAAAAGAAATGAATGAGTCAATAACAAAAAAAAAAAAAAATGATATTGAACATATTTAAAAAAATATATATTTTAATAGACTTAGAAAGTGAGAGAAGTGAGAACCAAAATCTCCTGCTTTGGGGCAAGGATACAACCCATGGCACTGCTGAAAAATATTGTTATGAAGTGAACAGTAAGTGAGCACAATTATTCTAACAAAAATGTTTACCTAGTCAGACAATTAATTCTATTATTTAATAAAAGATTTCATAAAACATTTTTCAAATCTTTTGAAGCTTAGGATTGATGTGTAATCCGATCCTATCTGGCGGCCACGGCTACCAAATATAGATTAGAAAAGAAAAAAATAAATACATGTCAAGTAGGGAGAGATTCTTACCAGCATCATGCCTCTTATGTTCTCATCCGTGTAATACTCTGGTTCTGTTTGTTGCAGTGAAAGCAACACTTCAATCATCGTCTTCTTTCTCTCTTTGGACTCCGAACTATCACTCCTCATTCCTCTCCTGTGCTGTTCTATCAATTCCTGTATCAACCCATCTCTCTTCTTCTGCAACACCACCAACTTCTTCTCCAATTCGTTCACTCCCAACCAGCTCAACACCGGCAAATAGTCTCCCATATTCGTTGCGCCACCCAACTGGAACGTCTCCGCCACTATCTCCTGGAACCGCGCCGCTTCCTCCACGTCCTCCACCGTTTCGCCGTAGTACCTCTTCCCGGCGATCATCCTCATCATGACATTAAGCAACAACTCGAAAAACACCTTTTTCATGTCCACCGTCTGATCTGCATAAGCCCGGAAGAGTTTACGGGTCATCAACCGGACCTCGTCGGCACGTACGCCGGCTAGCATTTGGAGACGATGGGATGACAGGATTTCGATGGAGGAGATTCGCCGTAGGTTGCGCCAGTGGTTGCCGTAGGGGGCCCATACGAGGTTGCTGTAATTGTAGCCGATGATTTTTCCGAACAGGAGCCGAGGGCGGTTGGCGAATACGATGTCGTTTTTGGAGAGGCATTCCTCGGCGGCTGACGGAGAGGAGACTATGAGGACCGGACGTGAGCCGAACCGGAGGAGGAAGATTGGGCCGTAACGGGCTGATAAATCGGACAAGGTGCTGTGGAGAGGCTTCTTCAAAAGGTGGAGATGGCCCAAAATGGGTAGGGTCGGGAAAGGGCTTGGTGGGAGGTTTTTGATCTTGTGGAGGAAATGCTTGGTGAAGATGTATATGGCCAAAATTAGTGGAATGTACAGGTACAGTACTGCATCCATGGTTGATGAAAATTTTGGATATGAGTGGCCTATAATTTTGGATATGATATGGTTTCAATGGCCTATAATAATATATATATATATATATATATATATATACACACACACAAAGCAAGAGAGATATGTGACGTTCCAAATGAACAGAACCAAGAAGCAAAGCAAAACAACCCATCCATGTCTGGTCACGAACCGACGACCGACCACTTTGCTATTAGAGTCGTGGTAGGCCCTTCGAAATGTTTTTAATGGGATACACGTGAGTTTTTGGTAGGCCCTTCGAAATGTTTTTAACGGGATTCACGTGAGTTTTTGTTGAACGCGTATGCTTAGTAAGTTAGTTTGGATTGAATGATTTGGTGGGGTAAGAAAATATGAGAAAAACAAGAAAGAAAAAAAATGACAGTGTAAAGTCTGTTTCGGTTGTATTAAGTGGGAAGAAAAAAAAAAAAAGATTATGAGAGGTTTAGAAGGATAGTAATTTCTTGAGGGACAAGACTTGGCTACTTAACGATGAGTAAGGTCATTCTTATTAATGATGATGTAATCTAATAACAAATGTATAAATGATTACTAATTACAAAATAAATAAGAAAATCGGAGAGGTTGACGGAATTTATTCCAAAAAAAATTATTATTCTTATTTATCACTTTTCTAATTTTGTAATTAAGATTTATTTGTGCAATATTTGTGATAATACCATATTAGTGGTAAGAAGGAATGACCAACTTACCGTGAGTAGGCAACTCTTGACCATTTCTCTAGAACCCTTGTATGATATCCTCTCAAAAGCTTAGAAGATTTGGAGAGAAATGATTGAGAATAAATAATACATTCATAATTTCAAAACTATTCTCAATAATTAAAAGAATAACATGTTAGAACACTTAAGCCCTATTTAAAAAAAGGATAATTACACTGACATCCCCTCAAGTTTATTTAAAAGAGAGGAATGTTAAGGATAGTCGCTAAGGTGACTGCCCATTCACAGTCGCTGTTCTTATTGGTGAGTAGAATTGTTATTAATGCCTTCATTAATTACAAGTTTCTCACTTTTTATGGAATATTAAAACTCTCTCTCTCTTTCTCTCTCTCTAGATATATATATATTTTGGCACAAAACAGCCATTTTAAACCTTTCATCCGTCTCTTCAGTTCTCACTTGATGAAATGTACATATATATATATATATATATATATATATATATATATATATATATAACATTACTTTTCTTTTCTTTTTTTCATTTTTTTTCCTTGTTAGATTTGTACGGGTTACTTTCTCTCCCCCCCCCCCCCACCTATTTTTTTTTTTTTTTTTTTTTTTTTTTTTCTGTTAGATCCGTATGCCAGTTTAAATAAATATATATATGCAATCCTCTCAACCATGAATTCATATAGAGAATATATATATATATATATATATATATATATATATATATATATATATATATATATATAAGGGTTAAGCAACAATTAAAAATAAAAGAGAAGAAAGAATACACTCACACACACACATATATATATAAACACCAATATGTGAATGAAGGGAGGAGTGGGAAGAAAGGCAAATGAAAGGGATAAGGGTAGTTTTGTCCATAAAAATATATATATTAATATCTTATAAAAAGTAGAAAACATCTAAAGATATTAATTACAATTCAACTCACCAATAAGAACAGCGACTATGAATGAGCAGTAGCTAGGTCGACTGTCCTTAGCATTCCTCGTTTAAAAGATAGGTAGATACAACTTAGGTCATTTTTTGACAATGACACCCCCAAGTTTACAAACTTGAGTAATAACACCCCATTCTATAAAAAAGGAGCCCAACACAACTTTAATTAACATGAAATATCTAATATACCCTAAGATATATTTTAATTCTCTCATAAAATAACCAAACTATCACCTCCTTATTTTATCTTTTGCCAAAAGAGATTCTTGTCTCACTTTCAACCCTCTCATCTTGGTGGTGGCGGCAACTTTGAATGCCAGTGAAAACGAAGGATTACAGACGATGAGGACTGATCGGCAACAAGGCCGGTGAACAGAGACTGGCCCGGCGGTGCAAGGAGAAATTCAGTGAGCATAGACAGCCAGAAAGACGGTGACTAGAAAAGTCGCTATTCCGGATATGGTTGGGCAGTGAAGACGAGCTCGGCTAGGACTGAACGGCGAGTACAGATCTGGCGGGGATAGATCTAGTAAGACGAACCGGCGAAGAAAGAGGACTGAACTGCAGTATGCTCTACCGGTGATAACCCAAGTGGGTCTGTACAGTCGACGGCAATGGAAATTACCGTGTTGAAAATAAACTTGATTTTAGAATTTTAGTTATAATTAGTATTTTCAAGTATTTGGTATACATGATGCATGTGTGCATTTCATGTTAGTGGGGTAGTAAATGGTCTTGATGGAGAAGGTTATGTAAGACTAAGAGGTATGGGAATTAAGTCTCCTAAATACTATGTTAGTGGGAGTTATGCTGCTAATGGTTATGTTAGTGGGAATAATGGGTGTAATTAGGCCTTTAAATGTAATGGTTATGCATACATATGTGAGGCCTATATAATCATGTACTTTAGTCATTTTAGAATATGAATTAGAAGTGGAATAAGAATAATTATTCAAGTATTCCTCCATATCATTCTCTTCCAAAATATTATTAAGTATTGTGTGTATCTAAGTCACTATTTCCAACAAAGTGGTACAAGAGCAATGTCAGAAAGTGGTATCAGAAAAAAAGTCACTAAAGTGGTATCAGAGCTAGATTTTATGTTCAGAACCTAGACGATTCTGAAGGTCTGACGAAGTTGATCCTAAAAGGTTCAACATTTGAGAAAAACATGTTTCTCCTTGATGATGATGAAGGGGAGAAAATTTATTTTCTTAGTGTGAAGATGATGTTCTCTAATTACAGGAGAATGAGAATCATCATGACTTCATACCTCAAAGTATGTGATTTGTGGGATGTTGTTGGATTAGAACCAAATAATGGCATGTCCAACAAGCTTCGAGAAAAGAAAGAAGAAAAGGCATTGGTAGTGTTGCAGAAAGCAATACATCAAGAAATTTGGGGGTATTTTGGAGAGTCCAAAACTCCAAGTTGTGTTTGGAAGATGATCGAGACCATCGTTTCCAATCATAGAAGTGAATCACTACCTATGGAGTATTGGATACAATGCTTTGAGGATGATGAGTTTATGAAGGCTGATTATGAAAGTCTTGAGGATAAATTTGTGGAGAATGAAGAGGCATACAACACAAATGAAGTTGAAGAAATTGAAGTTTCAAAAGTTGAAGGCCAAAGTGAAATAGAGAATAAGGAAGAGATAAAGAAAGGTGTTGAAGAAGAGATTGAAAAAGTGGATGAGATTGAAATAGAAAGAGAAATTAAAGAAGAAGAAAGTGCTAAAGAAGAGGCAAAAGTTGATGAAATTGGTGAGTTAACAGTTTCAGGTATGGTTCCAAATTCCAATTTCAAAGAAGTTAGATATAACTTATTTGATAAAATTTTGATTTCTTCATATTCATCTCAATTGGAAAGCAAAATCAAATATTATGATAATTGTGTTCATGTTGTGGAGAATAATGAACTTTTCTTGGAGAAAGATATTCCAACGAAGTATGAGATTGAAGCTCAAGATGATAATAATTTTTCAAATTATTTTTTGAAAAATGGTTTGGAGAGTTTTGTAGTTGACACAGGTTGGGCGAATATGGAGTTATTTTTTGACTCTAAAGAAGAAGCATATGTGAAGTTGAAAAGTCATAAAGATTCAAGAAGAAAAAAGATAGATGGTGCGTTTATATAAAGAAGATGATATATGATTATGTGAAAACATCAAACAAGCATTCGAAGATTTTTCACAAGCCATATACATCAATGGAAATGGCCAAGAAGATTGTTGCAATTGAAGGAGGTGAAAATCAAGACAAAGTAACAAACTTTTGATCGAGCCCCCAAGATCAATAAGAAGTTTACTTTCAAGTTACAAAATCAAGTTTAAAGGGGGGTGTTGAAAATAAACTTGATTTTAGAATTTTAGTTATAATTAGTATTTTCAAGTATTTGGTATACATGATGCATGTGTGCATTTCATGTTAGTGGGGTAGTAAATGGTCTTGATGGAGAAGGTTATGTAAGACTAAGAGGTATGGAAATTAAGTCTCCTAAATACTATGTTAGTGGGAGTTATGCTACTAATGGTTATGTTAGTGGGAATAATGGGTGTAATTAGGCCTTTAAATGTAATGGCTATAAGAATAATTATTCAAGTATTCCTCCATATCATTCTCTTCCAAAATATTGTTGAGTATTGTGTGTATCTAAGTCACTATTTTCAATAAAGTGGTATCAGAGTAATGTCAGAAAGTGGTATCAGAGAAACCAACATACCGGCGATCAGGATGCATTGGTGAGCATGGATGCGGTGGTGAGGATGATTGATGAGCTCGGAACTGCCAAGCATGAACTTGACTTTATCAGCGGCGGTGGAGGACTGCAAATGGGTCTGCTGGCTTGTGGTTGATTGAAGAAAATGGATTGCTCACTTTGGTAGCGAGAACTGTGAAAGCATGGAACTAGGTTTGTTTTCTGATTTTTGAATTTTTTTTTTTTTTTAGATTCCTCATTGTATTGTTCTAATGGGTTTGAAGAAAAGATTTTCAAATATATATATCAAAGAACAGTGAGTGGACGTGTGGAACAGAAAATAGTTGTTGTTGTTTTTTTTTCTTTTTTCAAACAAACAAAATGGGTTCATTTGAGAGTGGTTGTGGATGGTGGTGGTGGGGTGAAATTGGTAATGGGTGTGATGGTGTGGTGGGTGGTTCATTTGGGGGTGATTGTTGACGGTGGTGGTGACTGGTAGGTTGAAATTGGGTTGTAGGGGTGGTTGTGGATGATGGTGGTGGGTTGAATTTGGTTATGGTGTGATGGTGTGTGTGTGTAAGAAAGGGGATAAGGCCTAATTTGGGCGCCGGGGGGGGGGGGGGGGGGGGGCGGTGTGAAGTGATCCAAACACAGAGTTGAGGGTCATTTTGGTCAATTCATAAGAAATTATAAAGATAATTTAGTCA